ATACAGTCGTTAGCCAAGCTAGCTCGATTCCGGATCAAATATCGCGGACTATTACTTACTAAATCATTAGTGACCTTGAAGGAGAAAAGAACAGAGGGTACTAGTCCTATCAGCATGCATCGTCTTCTTCAGGGCTTTCTTCACAAGAGCATGTCACCAGAGGCTGTACAAGAGTCGTTCCAAGGTGCCACAAGGATAGTCTGTGCAGCAATGACTCACCTCTGGCAGTCTAATTTCCGCCTTATTCGAGCAGAATTTTCTGAAGTGTTTCCTCATGCACAGAAGATTCATGGATATTTTCGTGATTTGCACAAAGAACTGGGTCCAAGATTGCAACTTCCACTGGACTTCATTCGTTTGCTACACAAGGCAGGGTCGTGAGTTCGGTTAACATAGAGTTTCTAAAGCATTTTCTAAGCTAAATAAGCTGATTATCATTAGTTTGGCGTATAGAAGGAAAACTCTCAACGATGCGCTGGGCCTGTTAGATACTGCGATGACAATACTCAACAAGACAAGACAACAAATAGATGCTACAGAGGAAGACATAGTACGCGAGGAGATCGATTGTTGCTATGCATTGGGTTGCATTTACACAGAGACAGCCGACTTCGACAGATCTCTCGCCTCTTTTCAGAAGGGGTGGGACCTCTCAAATAACTTATCTCCCACCACAGAGATGAGCAACAATTCACATGCCTGGCAGGTCGAAGAAATGCGACATGCCTTATGCGGGGGAATTGCAAACTCTCTTAATGGTTTAGGGCGAAACGAAGAGTCTGAAACGAAGTTTTAGGAATGCCTCAAACTGAACAAATTCGACAAATACTCTATTTACGAAGTGAACACGTATCGATGTCAATGTGATAGTGGCAAGCTAGACAAAGCAAGTCTAGGTTAGAGTCCTGGATAGAAAGGAGACGACTTGATCTGGGCCATGACGATACCAAGCACGGCGATTTCATGTAAGTATTGTTTTCCAGCTTTCAATGAGTTGTGATACACTCTTATGCTTATATATTGGGATTCAAGGACAGGCTCGGCACTCTATGTGCTGGGGAACGTGCGCATTACTCAAGGCAGATTAGAGGATGTGTATGATCTTCATAAAAAGGCACTGGCATGTTGGACAGTAACTTATGGAGAAGATCATCACAAAACCGGGGATGCATCCCACAAGTTTGGTTGGCATTTAGCGCGACGTGGTGAATATATGCAAGCATTGTAAGTTAGCCCTTCGAACTTGGAAACATGACCGGTGTTAAGACCTCGTCAATGGTTTAGAGCTCATTTCAACGAGGCTATTCGAGCCTATAAATCAGGATCCGACAAAGATTTCCGAAAGCGAGAGATACCTAGAACAACCTATCACAAGGCGCTAACATTGAGAAAGACTGGCCTAAACCAGCAAGCCGACGAAGAAATGACCACGGCAGTGGGAATTCTACAGAAAATACTAGGTAAAACATTGGATGCCCCTACGGAGAGTTCATTCGAGAAATTGGTTAGTCCATGGGCTCGTTAATATATAGACAGAAGTTCTCTAGTGCCTTTTGATGAACGACTCGCTTTGACTCCTCCTTCATATCGACCTCAACTGATCCACGTTTTCACACGACGCACCGTACTTATAAATGCATCATACAGCTGTGGAAGAATTCCAAACAATACTGTGAAGGGAAGTGCGACTGCAAGAAACGTCGTCATTCTTGGTTTTGGATCATCAAAAGTGTCGACATTCATACCAAAACAAGAAGCGACAAGGCTTGCTGGAAGAAAAAAATAAGCAAGCAACGTGATCCAACGAACTCTGTCTCCCTGAGATACTGCAATCTTGGATTCGCGGATGCTCATGATATTCATCTCGGTTGCCAACATTTCGCTGGTATCGCCAGAAAGGGAATCGGCTTCGAGCAACAGTATTGAGAGGTCGCGTTGAAGTTGAGTAACAAGCATGTTGACGTGTGCTTTACCATCTTGTGTGGAAGCTCTGGGCCAGGCCAGCGTTTCTCTACTATTGACAAACGCTACCATTTCACGGATATGGTAGCGCGCTCTGTCGAGTACTGATCTGTCATTCTGTAACCACGCGACTTTGTCTTCGGCTGTTGCTAATGTTTCATGGAAGCATCGAAGAAAGCAGAATAGCCTAATCCAGCAAAGAACAAAGGTATTCATTAGATCGACAACCAAAACAAAGGGGTCTTCTACCGCCAAAGTCTTGTCTTTTTTGCTCATATGCCAATTATCATACTTGATTCGCGATGAAAAAGGATCGAGGGTTTGGAGCTCTGAGATTTCGGCAGCTCCTCTATAGGGACCAGGAAGTTGAAGATTATCAAGAGCAAATCGACCATTTCGACATAGAGGTAAGATCCGAGCCAGTGAGCGGCCAAGTCGGTTCTCTCTTATCTTACGCCAGGGAGATTGGCTGTCTTGCAGGCCGCAGTCGGTCATGAGAATCGCCCGCCAGCCCGCTTCTCCAGGAACAATAGAGAACAGAGCCTCTTGTTCAATACTGAAGAAATGTCGATGAATATTGATCTTTCTGTACTGTTCTACCCCATAGTGGTCCGTCTTCAGGAGGTTCAAATTATACTTCCGTGTTATCTCGTCCATTTGCTCTTGCTGTTGACTGGGGCTATGATGGGACAAGGGACAGAAGTCTGAGCCCCAGGTGCCAAGCGAGATCAGGCGTATCTTCAGAGGTGCCCATGATGCTGTAGGTAGAGAAAGGCACCGAAATGTGCCCGGTAGGTTCCAGTGCTCGAAGAAGAATGTAGCGGGTAGCCCGTACTTTTGGTACTCTTGACTCAGAGATTGAAGGTTAGATGACTTAGGATATCCCCGTAGGAGAGTGATATCTGGTGAACCAGAATAACTGGTTGACAAATCACCCACAACGGGACTAGGGGATCCGACTGTTTGCCTCACGGGCGTCAGGTAATGTGATAGCTGCCATCGGGAGTAAAGAACGATGTGTGGTGACAAATGGAAATCATAGATGGTCGCACTGGTAGAAAACGTCCCATGATCAAGTAGACCAGAATGTAGGAATTTCTGTATACTCTCGTCCGGTATCCCGTTGGACATGGTGGAGCATTGCTGGTGTTTTCGATCTTTGCTTCTTCTCCTTTAATTAAGGGCGTAGTTCGGCGTTAATATAGCTGCCTCGTACCCATAGCAACTTCAGGTGGCACGAAGCGTTGCCTATTAATAGTGACAGTTGTGAGCCGAAAGTATACCTTTGTACAGTACTTTGGCCACGGAACCGATGACAAGGGGGGTTGACGTCCCACCAAGGCTAAATAACTGAAGGATTGCTCCTAGGTTTTAAACAGCGTCGTCCTAGGCCGCCCACCTTGTGCGAAGTCGTAAGGCATTCTTCGAGGCCACCAACCTATTCTCTTCCCTTGGCATATTGTCAGATTACTGCGGCGATACAAGATGCATGCCGAAACCTCGCATGACCTTCTCTACACTCGAGATCTTAACATATACAAGTCGACCAAACCATACGTATTTACATTTGACGTTTCTGAACATGGACCAGAAGCGCAGCAAACCAATCTCGCCTTGGAGCCCCACCAAACTCGTTTTCGTAACTACAAAGACGCAGAACACAAGTTCCTTCTGGACGTCCATGGTTTTGAGATCAAGCTATTTCCGTTCCCTGTCACTCCAGAGCAATGCAGTCAGGACTCGTTCGTACGGACCAATTATTATCCCCAATTCGAGGCCTTTCTACGAGCTCACTTTGGTCCCAAGTTGAATCAGGTCTACATTCTGAACCATTAGGTGGGTTTCCAATGTAGGAAAAAGAAATACAGCCTAGCGTGTCCAATGAGAATGCGTACAAACTCACAATTCAGCTCCGCCGCAGAAGCCCCCATTATCCGACATTGGACCTCGACAAGATCAATACACTTCAGCCAATTAATCGAGCCCATGCAGGTAAAATTGAGCCGCGAAGACCTGGCCTCACGTAGATAGATTGCTGATCTAAGCAGACTACTCTCCAGCGCGCGTATTACCTCAATTACAAATTTTTTTTCCCACAAAATGAGACTCTCAAAACTCGATATTATAAAGTCATGAAGTTAGATGATGGATTCGACTGTACATGAATTTCGAATCAGACTAATTGTCTTGTCTAGTATCTGGAGAGTCTTAAGTGGGCCAAATACAGACTGGCCGCTGGCCGTATGTGATTATACCACATTGGATTTGGATGATATAGAGACAATTGACTACATCGGACGCGACTTTGACGGAGGGACTTGAACTCAAATACAACCCTAATCAGGTTTGGTACTTTGTTGACAAGCAAGATCCAAATGAGGTCATCATGTTTTGCAACAGTGACAGCAGACCACTCGAGACCCCATGTTAGCCACCCTTCAAAGCCTTTGGCTATACTCGCAGCTAGTCACAAAATCCTATAGTCGCGTTTCATGCCGCATTTGATCATCAACCCGAGGATAAGGCCAAGCAACCAAGACAAAGTCTAGAGGTTCGAGCCGTGTTCTTCTTCGTGGACTCGACAGGGGACAAAGAGTAAAAGAGGTGAATACGGACATATGCGATTCGGTTTGCGAAGGCCCTGAGCATAATAATGAGACGAGATCAGCCTATTTGTTAGTCAGAGGTACATGTAGTATCTTAGGCTTGGGCTTTTGATGACAAACACTCCCAATTACTTCACCTGCTCTCCTCTGTTAATGTGGAGAGTCGCTCCCTATTGGTCATGGGGATCTCCACCAGAAACAATCAAGTTCACATGAGTTTGTACTGGTGGTCGTCAGAGACTGTTTCCGCATACATACCGGAATTCCTCGCTCTTACTCAGGCTGGCACTTAACCTTTTCGAACACGTATATTCACCATGATGGCCATCATCGTAAAGCACCGAGAATCAACCCGTTTCTTCAGATCGAGCATGCTCATGCTGAAAATCGAAATGTCTTGTTTCTTCAGATATTTCCTGCCAAAGAAAGAGTTTATGCCAACGTAATCCTTTTCCTATCCAAAGAACTCTCCTCTATAGATCCCCACAAACTAAACAAAGCAATACGCTCATATGTGTTCTCTTCTCGACCGACTGGCTTCAGAAGAAGTCCACAGGGTCCGTCCTCATCCCGGAAGCACAAAAAGAAAACAATGTCGCTACTCTGCTCTATCTCTTTCTTCTCAGATTCATCACGCACGTAATCCATAAAACAGGTGTGCTGCGTCTCCTCACCGGAAAATGTCAGAATCCCATCTTCACTTGAGCCCGCCTTGAACTTGATGGTAACGGGACTGCACCGGCCTTCTATCACGAGCTTGGCGGATGCCGGCGTGCTGTAGGGGACAGCACCCGGGACGACCTCGTGCGCAACAACGCGGAACAGCATCCTGTGCTGGTGGAAGACTGGGAAGAACCTCGCGGCCTCGACAGAAGCCCACGACCACGACGGCAAGCCAGGGATGCGTTTGCGGACATGCGATTTCGAACTGAACCAGAGCAGCAAAGCGCACAGATCCGGGTCCTCCCTCCAGACACCAGCGAGATACGTCCATCCGTGCGCTTCTCCAAACCGTCTCGCAACTCCCGAGAGAGCCGGTAGTTTGTCCGCGTCGATTGACAGCTCTGTCTTGGTGTACTCCGCGCAGATGCCACTCCATGTCATGTCAGACAAGCTCGGCGCCTCGCGCTTCACCATCTTCCAGGCGCCCTCGTTGTGGCCGCACTCGCACGACATTGCTTCCTTGCACTCCCAGATGACTTCGTTGCGCGTGAAGTGAATGATGCGTCGGGCCAGGAGGCGCTCCTGATACACCCAGCCGCGAGTCAGGAGGGGAAAGCCCTTCTCTACGCTGCTGGCTCTGTATTTGGTGCCTACAGTGTCAACGAAGAATGGATGTTCCTTGTTCAGTTCCGAGATCATGATGGTCTGCCCGTCCCGAGTACATAGTTTCTGGGTTTTCTCGGGAGGGTGCTTGGCGAACAGTCGCCAGTCGTTGATCTGCGCATCCAGAGCCGAAATGGTGACCACTGCGTTCTCGTAAATCGCGCTCATCCCAGAGGCCTGGCGGTTCCAATCATCCAGATCGTCCTGGCAAATGCACAGACAATCGATCCACATGTAGCGAAAGCCCAGCCGTCCAGCAGCCTCGAAAGCATCGCGCAGCAGCGGGTAAAGAAGATCTGTTGGGATCTGCTTCTTGAAAGTCTCGAGCCGGTCGAGCGTGAGGCTGGACGACTCGGTTTGCTCTGTCCATCGGTGGCTGAGGCATGCATACGGCTGAGGCTCCATGCTGCTCGTATCATCGACAAGCCTCACTGCCAGCGACTTGGGATCCTCAATGTAGAGAACGCGCCCCGGCCTCGGTCCACCTTCACCCAGGGCAGAGCACTGCGAGTGGTTGCTCAGACATTTTTCCATGCGTGCCTTCAGCATGTCAAATGCCCGCGCGCTGCTCGTGTCTCCGGACGGGTAAGTTCCCACATTGAGGCATGGATGAATCGCCCTCAAATCACTACTCGTCGGCTCATTTCCCGAGCCTACAAAGATCCGATACTCCGTATCTATCACACTCGGTATTGACATCTTGCCATAAGCCCATACCAGATCCCTCTCCTGATCCTTGTCCCGCGACAGGCCCGTGATCGACACGATCGCCACACAGACCTCGCACCCTCGATCTACAGAACGCCAGAGTCCCGACAGGCGGGAATGGTGAGCACCTCCAAACTTGTGCGAAGCAACGGGAGGGGGAAAGTCGTCTTCTATTGTCTCCAGGTCTCCCGGGAGTACAAAGAGGCAGACCCCGCAGCGCCATGGCTTCGGATCGTGATCAACTTGTGGTTGTGGTGACATAGGCGTAGATTTGTCTTTTTTGCTACGCGGAAACTTTAATAGGCCTTTGATGCTTCTCCTCATGGCTCTAGTAAGCGAGGTTATGAGAGAAAATAGAGAGGGTGTGGGCCGCCGATCAAGTGCTGGGACGGTTTATTGAGACTTCGTGAGGCTGAATTGACGATTAAGCCGCAATGCTTTAGATAGCTTATCGTGGTTGCCTTGACCCACCATCTCAAAGTCAGCCTTGGAGAGCTCTTGACCGGATTGATAGAAAACTTACGATGGCTCAAAGTGGGATAGAGTTGCTCAGTTAAGTTAGGTGTTCACCGCCGAGCTTTTGTGTCTCTGGCAAAGTATCAATTTAAGAGCGCCTGACAGTACACCCGAAATGACCATCTCCTAATAGTCGCGTTATTATGAAGTCAAATCCACATTTACACATTACGATTACAGGAACTCGTCAACTTGAAATATCAAATCAGGTGTGACAATACAAGGTAAAAGATATTGCCATTTAATTGCATTGCGGACTAAAATTCCTCTTCCGCCAGAAGATGTTGTCTGCTTTCACAACTCTGTATCTTCTTAATCCTGATTGATGGACTACCACAGTCCTCGTCTGAAACCACTAAAAAGCCTCGCACAGTATGGCTTGGGTATAACCTCCTGTATCTGAGTCCGCTCCATTGAGCACGTCCCTCTTGTTCATCATATCTTTCTGTCTGTCCCTCCTTGGCTCTAATCCAGTAACAACCGTGAAAAAGGCGCTTTAGATCTCCCTAAGCCATCACTCGCCTCGCTCGCAAATAACTCTCATTCTAGATGTCTCATCCGGAATTGTGTTGCCAGGAAGAAAAAGTGACCAACCACTGTCTTGGACTTTTCTCTAATGCAACTGTCCCCTGATCCACCACCCCTCCCTCCATGATTTATGTATCCGTGGAAATGCTAGGCCAAGCCAAGTGTGCAAAGTCGTAAAGTCATGCCTATAATGCCGTTGACCATGAGTGACAAAGGTTTAAAAGCAGAAAAATTGGTTCCCCCTGAAACAGGTAAATGGACCACAGTGAACACCCCTTAACCAGACCAAGCCATGATTATCCGAGGCTGAATGTATAAAGAAGATAGAAAATGAAGGATGTAAACAAGAATACAATTTAGGTCGTTGATCTCACAATCCCCAAGAGCCTCGGCGCTCCTGTACACCCCACGGTCGGGGACTGATGTTATCAAGGTCAGGATGCTGCCGGGCCCACTCAAAGATGTATTGCTTCAACGCTCTCCAACGTGGACACCTGTCGTCCTCCGCAGTGTCAATATCCATCTCGATCTTGATGTGACCCTTCGCATTGCTGCCAATACCGTCCATGACGGCATCATCGTCGTGCTCGAGCTCCTCGAGCGAATATCGGCTAATCTTGCTGAGTTCGTCATCGTACATGCGTGCCATGGCGGGGTACCCAAGAGAGAGGTAATTGTACACCTGCGTCACGAAGTCATCGGTAAATTCAGAAGCGATCTTCTCCTCGAGGTCCGCGAGTGCCTTCTCCTGCTTGAGTCGCTCCTCAAGACCCATCAGCATATGAAGGCCTTTTGGTGCACCGCGGGAGCGATGTTCCGAGGTGGAGATGGTGGGATAGGAGCCTGTGTGCAATGGCGTAGGCTCTTCGGAAAGACTGAAGGTGGCGTGGGCACTGAAAGCCGTCGAAAAGGGGTCACTGTGCTCGCGTGGGGTGGCCGGTGGCATAGGGGTGGAGATCATTGCCGGACGCTCGGCAGGGACTAGCGCTTCGTGCTTGGTGTCATTCGTATAGCAATAGCCTCGCCACAAGCCACGCTGTCCGGAAACATCCCGGTTAGGCTCTTCTGTCGTGCAGGTCTCCTTATCCCATTTTTGGTCAGGCTCGAGCTTTGTCTGTTGGGGGGATGGGCACATCCGGAAGACGAGGTCCTTGCCAAGCATCGGTGGGCTCCGCTGGGTCCGCATACGATGTAGATCTCGCTCGGCCTCGCGATCCTGGTTACGGTACCCGGCAAAAGCACCGAAAGGCGCCCTGTTTCGAAATCCTGTCTCCGGCGGGATCTGTGAGGCCGGAGCGATGTACGGCATGTCAGCCGCCTTGCCAGGCGGGGCGGACGGGATATAGGGCATATAGCTCTCTCCAATTGGCCTGATTGGCGGTGACTCAGCTCGGGGGAAGTACGAGTCGGGATCTTGCGATTTGTTCCATAGCTGGGACCCTTCTGGCTTGACTGGCTCGCTGGGAATCAGAGGCATTGGGTGCTCGCCGATTGGGCTGAGCGGCCCAGTTCGGGCCCTTGATCCGGTGAAATGGAAGGTGTTATCGGGTGGGCCGATACTGCCAACTTCGGACATGGACGAGTCAAAATCCTCTCCCCGCTCGTGACGCAGGACCTCTGCATGTTCCTGCATCTCCTTGACTGCCCATCCTACTTCAGACGAACCACGTCTTGAGTGCTTCTTTTCATTCTGAGGCCTGGTCAGACTCCTACCCCGCTGTGAGGAGCCGTCGCTATCGTCTTCGGAGCCCTCTCTGACGAAGAAATGCTCTGCTCCACCCAGCCGTATCCCGGAGTTTGGGAAGGCCGACATGGCCATGTCCTCGATCCGTCGCTGTGCATCGAGCTTGTTGAGGTCGAAGACAAGCTCTGATATCTCATCATCACAGGACTCTCTCCTAGCATGTCCCGGATGCCGGCTATTGTGCTTCTTCTTGGACGTCAACGAGTAGATATGGTTGGTGTAAGGTGTGATGTCCGTCTTGTCGACGGGTTTCGTGGTCGGGCCTACATCGCCGGCCTTCCGAGACCGCCGACTTGACTCGACGAGCTGGGGAGCGAACCGCCTCTTCTCCTTGTTTGGTGGTCTGCTCTGAGCATCTCGCTTTGCGGGTTCTTTCGGGAGCGGGGGAGGAGGGGACATGGATACCGGCGAGTCTCGAGGTGACGGGTCGGGAGTAGGTTCTGCTGCAGGGACAGTCTTTCGGTATCGCTCAAAGGTCGTCTCGATGGGCACAGGGGCAAACCGCCTGCGCGGTTGCGTTGGTTGGGCCATGGCTGATGGCTACCGACCAAATCAGATCTGAGTAGTTTGAAATTGATCGGTGCTTAGGTTGAATCTTTCAAGTCTGTTCGCAATCCCCTACTGGCTCTAGGGCCAATTTCGTGGAGGGCGAGTGTGGCAGGAGGGGACAAAAGCAGCGATTGAACTGGCTGGGTGGTTCGGCGATCGCAGGTCAGGGCAGAGGTGTCAATCGCACGGCACACATCATCAGGGCCGTGATGCGAGCTGCTTGATATGTGAAAGGAGGAAGATGGAAGAGGCTCTCTACTAAGAAAGAGATTGGTGTAGTAGTAGTATGTGTTACAGTGTGCTGTCTGTGGTGCAACTGCTGAACTCCTGTCGTCGACGGTTGGTGAGTGAAAGGCGAGGTTGTATTGTAGTAGGTGGTAATAGGTGCTGGGTGCTGGGTGCTGGGCAGTGGGTAGCGGGGGGGAGTTCAAGGGTCGGGCGGTCACAAGGACAGCGAGAACGGGATGATGACAGACAAGGGACCAGGGCAGACAGGGTGGGATGCGCCTGCCAGGTAGGTGGTAGGTTTACCAAGTACAGCGTCGTACCTGTTAGTTAGACAAGGTAGGCAAGGTAAGGTTAAGCCTGCAGCGCCCACCACCCACCCACCAAGCCGCTTGCACCTGAATCAAGGAGAAATGGCAAGGGCGGCCCTAGAGGTTCCTGCACTGTGCGCCAGCTGGCCAGTCTCACACGGTCCTCGTTCCTAATCCTAATGAACGAACGTTAACTTATCGGTGAGACACTTGCGTCATTGCCGAGTCTCTTCTCAGCACCGAAAACACAACAGCATAGCATAGGAGGTAGGCAACGGTCAACAGAGAGGGTTTCCACCGCTCAAACTCAATGCGGTGCCTGACTAACGTTAAGCCGAGAGAGTCAGTTCTGAATTGTACCAGCAATGGCGAATGTTTGGTGGTGTAGCAAGCTTGCTGTACTGGTACTGTCCTGCTCCTCCGCCCCGTACTGTTTGTCTACAGCATCTCTACCTGCATCTCAACATTTGTTCTTTCTGGTATTCCCCAGCTCCCTCCTCCTCCTCGCAGGGGTCCCGGTGTGCCACCTTGATCTCTTCCCCTGCTGCACAGTGCCGGCGTGGATAGAGAGGCCCCAGCTTACAGGACACAGGACACAGGACACAGGACAGGCATGCGGGTGCTGCTGCGAGACCGAATGCGGCTGTCCCTTCCGCTGACATCATTTACCGCCAACTTGCGTATCCGTAGCAGCAACACAGTGTCGCTACTCTTATCGCTGTCGTGTGCTACTACGCGTCCCTTCGTCTTCCGAAGGAGGCGCTCGATAGGTAGTCTCGGGCTAGCTGACACTGCCCTGAACTGTCTAGTTACCTTGGGCCCATCTCGCCTTGCTCGACCTACCCTCCCTCACTCATGTGAAAACGCGAAATGACATGAGAGATACCATATGATGGAGGCCATTCGGGGCATTGGCAATGGCAAGATGCAGGTGGAAGACGCAGCGAAACAAACAAAACAACTGACACAGGGCAACCAGTACATCCAGTACACCAGAGTACAAAAATGGCTTTTCGCCCAAGACATAACGTTAACGTTAAAACAGATGTGGAAAAGCTCCGCCTCAGCAAATTGATGCGTCATCCGAAGTCGTCGCACTGCCCGCTAAAGCCTCACTGGAATGGAGTCAGGCACAGGAGCCACACAGAACACGGGCTCCCCCAATTTCGGGCGCCGGTCCCCAGGTGATCAAGTGACAGCTTCCCCCCAGTGCCGGCTCTGTTACGAGATGGAAATTCCATCCACGTTGCGCTCATTTCGAATTAGCCAGACTCGAGCCAGGCTTGTCAGGCACACATGTCGCGAGAGATCTTTCTCATTGGCAACAAGAGGTTGCCCATTCAGCTAGAAACTCAAGTGGCAGTCGATGACTCTTCTCCCAGCATAACATTGGGAGCCAACGGTGGGCGGCTCGTAAACGCTGGGGCTCGCCACAAACAGGAGAACAAAGCCCTGAAGCACGCAGTTTTCGCAACCTCCACCGAGGCTTGACAGGGCTGAGCGAGCGCTTCATGGGCAGCCGCGTAACAACAGGAGCCCGAAGGCTGCCTCAGGGCTTGTGTAATTTCGTAGAATCAATAGAAGGTCCTAAATTAAGCTCCCGTTCACGGGGATGGCAAGCCACTGGAGCAGGTGTTCATTTTGGTGGTCTTCAACCGCCGACTAGTGAGCCCAGTGTGCTTGCGAGTCTAGAACACATGGTCAGTTAGCGGCATCTGCCCCCGGTGCAACCCCCTGTGCCTAGATCTTGGAGATTGAGTGCCATCTTTTTCAAGGGGCAATTCCTCAGCCAAATTGGTCAAGCCACGTGGGAGGAAAGCTGTACATATTCTGGCATCCCCGGAATCAACTCTGCAACTCTGACAGTGTCGAGAGAAAAGATCAGACAGACAGAAATGTCCTTGACCGTGGCGGATGCTCAACTCGGATAGTGGTGTTATACTAGCGGTCTGCTGCTCGTCTCCAAGAGATCCGATACCTTCAAGCTTGATTCCCGTGTTGGACGATCCACGCGCGGGGGTCCAGGAAAGCGGTGCCGGCATATGCTAGGAGCTAGGAGCCCGGAACCCCCACTTGGTCTCCCTACACCGCAACCTCGTCCGGCGAGCTGGAGGTGGGCATCCATCCATTGCTTGGTGTTGGACAGAACGATCTGACTCGTTCGTAGTACGGCCACAACCGTCTGATACTACAGAGATAACGTCGCATGGTCGTCACACAAAGTCGCCGCGAAACGGAAGGTCGCGACTTCGCCGAGACCGTCTCGGAGGCGAAGAAGCGTAATCTGGTTCTCGTGGATGCGATTCTTCGATTGTCGCTATTCTCGGCATTTTTGGGGCATGCAGCCCGCAAGCCATGTTGCGCTGTGCTGCACACTCGAAAACTCGCCGCACGCAGCTCAAGACCCTCTCGTGATCCACTCCACTTTGAGCGGTGCGCGGGATGGCCCTCCCGGTAACGTATGTAGGAAGATAGGCAAGGACCCATATTGCTGCTGCGTTAGTGCATCTTGTCAACGTCCATTCGTGCGTAAAACACCAGCCAGTAGATGCTTTGTCTGCAGACCGTGGGAGGAAGAGCGCGAGAAAAGCTCAGACTGTCACTAACGTTAATGTATACAGATCAAAGCTCATTGGGGGCCGGACTTGAGCGAGGCGGTCTGCAGACATGCAGCTTCCTCGCCAAAGAGGAAAGCACGGTCGAGCGTACTGCAGCAGCCAACACCACTCGGTCCTTCCCTCACCTCGACAACTGACAACTCTGCGAGTCCTGTGACTGCAAAATTACAGACAACCGCCTGTGCGTTTCAAGACGCAGTTACCTTAAGCGGCCTACAACTGGTAACGTTAGGCAGAGAGCTTCATGCTTCACTCAATTGGAACCCCGCCGCCTGTCTCGTCGCTTCCCGTCCCCTTGCCTTGTTTGGTCTCCTGCCAGGGAAAGACAAGGACGCACGCACGCACGGGCAACCTTTGGAACTCCCGGAAGCATTGCGATTTGCCAATTCCCCTCCTCGCTTCCCAAGGCCCGGCCGCTCCTTCTGCCGCAAGTGCAAGTGCTGCAAGCTTGCAAAAAGGAAGGATGTCAGATGAGCAGTTTCCCAAACGGGCGTCTCCTCAACTCAAGCAAACGGTGTGTCAAGCTCTGTGCGGGCAATCGCAGCCCACCGCTCTTTCCCAATGTTGCCATTGGCTCGTCGTCACCCTCTGTCCCTGATGATTGGCGGTATGCGTGAAGGTGGTGGTCAGCGGTGCGGCAGATTCATTGCAATGGAATTGCGAAGGGGAACTACACTACCGGTACCGCGCTGCAGTGTAGCAGCAGCTGGTGCCGGTTGCGGGTTTTTGGGGGTATGTAGGTAGGTAGGTAGGCATTTTCTTCTGTCATCGACTTGTATACCTCATGGTGGCTCCCAGCCGGGACGGGGCTTGGTGTTAGGTTGTCTTGAACTGAACTGCGTTCCAGTCGAATTGGATTGCTTTTTTATCTGCCCGTCTCCTAGGCAGGCATGCTACAGTATCTACTGTACTACTGTGCTTGATAAGATACCCTGTGGGGGTCATCCTAAGCGCTGATCTGGGGAACCTGGATGATACTCCTGCCAGGAGAGAGGAAGCTTGGACACTGTTTGCCGCAGACAGTATGTTACTCGTCACATGCACGTTGCCAGTGTTTGGCGATCGACGCTCGTGTCTGCGGTAGGCGCATCTCTGATGGTTGCCCGACCTCGGTCGCGACCGTCGCAGCAGCGCAGCAGTTGGTGGTGACTGTGATCCTGTCATATTCCTGCTGCAGCAATGTTGGGAAGATGCCGACATTGATAGACCTGTTAGACACTCGCGCAGCGCCATGCCCCGGCAGCCACCTAGTAGCTCCCATGCACGTTGGCTCCCATGGTCACCTTGCAGCGATTCTTTTGCTTATGCATCGGAATAACACTCTTGATGCATTTCGATGACGTAGCAAGTATATTCGCGCCTAGCAATGTGTATGTAAAATAAAATTAAGCAAAAATGGGCATAGTGACCGAGAGCTGTGATTATAATATACGTACCTCACACAGGGTCTTTCGATGTCGTCTAAAGTCTTACACGACAATAATAGATCTGATAAGGGTAAGGATCACCTCCAGCTAGGAGCATGCAGGTGTGCACCACCTTTCGCGGTCTTCAACCAGGCAGTGATAGTACAGAAGTCTCCCAACGTGCTGTCGCTGTTCTAATATACAGAGCAGTAGTTGTCCAGACATGAAGTCATTTGTTTCGCTGCGTCTGTTGCCTTAGACGTACGGACGGCATTGTCGAAGAGTCGATGAGTCAGACAGTATTTGAGTATTTCCTCTGTAGAAGGGGACAATATCTCATTGCCACTAACCTAGCAGGCCCCCTTAATAATAGCCTATCCATTGCTATGTCACGACAAGAATCGCCTCACGCCGAACAGGCC